CCAGGACCTTAACCCCCCCCCCCCCCTGCTGGTCCCAGCAAAAAACTTCTCTCTCAAAAAAAAAAAAAAAAGAATGATTTTATTTAACTTTATTTATTCATTTTTATTTGATCAGAGAGGGGACAGAGAGGGACAGAGTGAGAGAGAGAAAGCCACCAGGTCCAGGATTTGAACTGCAATCAGCCATGTGGGAGTCCAGCCCCCTTAACCACCACACCACCTGCTGGGCCCAGCTCATATAATTCATTGAATACTGCACTAAAAGTGAAAAACAGGGACCAGTAGGTGGCATGGTGGTTAAGACGCTGGACTCCCACATGGATGACTGAGTTCTGGACCTGGCAGCTTGCTTTCTCACTTTTGCTCTCCCTCTCCTTCCCCCTTCCCTTTCTTGCCCTAAAGCAAATTAAATAATAATAATAATAAATTAAATAATTCTTCTTTTTATAAAACAAAAAAGATAGTGGTACCAGCAGGTATTGTGGTGACTAAGGTGCTGGACTCTCACATAGTCAACTGTGGTTCGGGTCCCAGACCCAGCAGCTTAAAGCTCATGCCAGGCATGCATGTGTGTGTGTGTATGTGTGTGTGCCCAAAATCCTGAAAGGAGAATAGAGGAGAAGGGACTGCTGTGTGGCCTTCACCCCTAGGGGGTGATTTCTCGCTTACTGTCTCTCAGTCTCTCTGATGCGTGCACTTGCCCTATCGCAAAAATCTCTCCCCCCCCCAAAAAAAAGAAGAAAGAAAGAGAGAAAGCGAGAAAGAAAGAAAAGAAAGTGTGAAAACAGAATGAGTACTTGAGCCATTTCTACTGCCGTGCTGGAAGCCACATGGCCAGCTGCTATTTTGATCTCTGATCTGAATCATGCTGGGAGTCATGGGCTTGTGTCCAAGATCTTGATGGACTTGTTACCAGACTCTGTCAAAGGGGTCTCTTTCTCTCTCAGGTGTGCACTCAACCATGAATTCAAAAATCATTAAATTGAGGACCATCTGTACAAGATAGTTGAAGGCCACAGGGCTGTACCCTTTCAGGAGTTGTCGGGATGAATGGTGAATGGGCAGGCAGGGTCAGGGGCTTGGTGCTGACCTCTTCTTTCCTCTGCCAGTCCCCCTCTGCCTGCTGACCCTGCTGGTGCCACCCCTCAGTCTGGCGGCCCCTATCTCCCCAGCTGAACCCATCAGTCAAGCCTACAGCCTGGCCCTCTACATGCAAAAAAACACATCAACGCTTCTGCAGACTTATGTGAGTGACACGGGCATGAGCAGGGGACAGGGGAGGGCATACTTCCCAGCTCTGCAGAGGGGAAGCAGAGCAAGCTCAGGAGGAAACTGCTTTGTGGATCCGAGGGTCCACAGCTCTGTTAATTAGAGAACACTCACTCAAGTGCTCTCAGTGATGGTGGGGTGACCTCGGGCAGGCCAGTCCTCTCTTAATCTCAGCTTCCTCATCCGTAAAACGGGCTGGTGATCCTGCCTTTGTTGACCTCTCAGGACTGTGCAGAGGAAGCCCTAGAAGGAAGGCTTTGCATAGTCACCAGTATTTCTGTAACTACCTCATGCTGCGTGCTCACTTGAGCCCTGTGCCGGCTGGGCACTCATGTCCCATCATCTGGACTCTTCAAATAGTTCCAAGAGGTGGAATTAGAATCCATTTTATAGATGAGGAAGCTAAGTCTTAGAGGGGATGAATAATTTGCCTGAGGTCACAGAGCTAATAATTGGCAGTGCTAGGACCTAAACCAGGTCTGTGGAATCCCATGCTGCCATTTCCCCACCCCCCAGTCTCACTGTCTAGCAGTTAAAACTGGCTGGGACCAGCAGTTGGCGTAATGACTATGTGGCTGGACTCCCATGTTGACTGCGATTTGAGTCCCGGACCCGGTGGCTTAAACTCATGCCGGACGCGTGTGTGTGCGTGCCCAAGATCCCAAGAGGAGAATAGAGGAGAAGGGATTGCAGTGTGGCCATTCCTCTGGGGGGTGACTTCTTGCTTTCTGTCTCTCTGTCTCTCTCTCTGTCTTGCTGGCAAGTGCACGTGCCCTATAGCAATAACCTCTCCAGGGGCCAGCAGGTGGTATGGTGGTTGAGGTGCTGGACATTTCCACATGGCCAACCACGAGTTCGAGTCTCGAACCTGGTGGCTTGTTTTCTCACTTTCTCTCTCTCTCTGTTCAAATTAAATGAATGAATAAATTAAATTAAATAAATAATTCTTTTAAAAAAATGAAATTGGCCATCCTGCTGACTGGGTCTGACTCACACATGTGTTTTGTTTGGCCCATGCAGTACTTGTTCAACTTTTGAATATGAAATCCATGCATAATTTTTTAATAATTTGCATTGCCCATAAGCTTCTTCTTATTATTTTTTTTCTAAGAGAGAGATTTTTGCTATAGGGCACTTTCACTTGCCGGGGAGACAGAGAGAGACAGAGAGACAGAAAGTGATAAATCACCCCCCTGGGGGGATGGCCATGCTACAATCCCTTCTCCTCCATTCTCCTCTCAGGATTTTGGGCATGCATGCACAAGCACCCAGCGTGAGTTTTAAGCCACCAGGTCTGGGACTTGAACCACAATTGACTACATGGGAGTCCAGTGATGTAACCGTTATGTCATCTGCTGATCCCATCCATAAACTTCTTCTCACATATGGAAGATGACAAATTGGAACCTAACAGGGCCCTTGCTCTGTTAGGATATTCCACCAACTCCCTGAGGACGGTGAATGGCAGCTCCCCCAGGAAAGATGCCAGGCTTGAGGGTAGATGTGAAGTCAGAGCCCCAGGTATCCTTCAGGCCCATCACTTCTGCCTGTCTGTTCTTGCAGCTCCAGCACCAGGGCAGCCCATTTAGTGATCCCGGCTTCTCAGCCCCGGAGCTCCAGCTCAGCAGCCTGCCCGCTGCCGCTGTCTCCTTCAAGACCTGGCATAATCTAGACGATGCAGAACGGCTGAGCCGTGCCCAGGGGGCCTTCTTGGCCTTGACCCAGCACCTCCAGCTCGTGGGAGATGACCAGAGCGACCTGAATCCTGGCAGCCCGATTCTGCTGGACCAGCTTGGGGCTGCAAGACTTAGAGCCCAAGGCCTACTGGGTAACATGGGTGTCATCATGTCTGCCTTGGGACTGCCCATCCCCCCAGAAAAGGACACTCTTGGGTTTGTCCCCTTTGGGGCCTCAGCCTTCGAGAGGAAATGTCGAGGATATGTAGTGACCCGGGAATATGGCCATTGGACAGACCGAGCTGTGAGGGACTTGGCTCTGCTCAAGGCCAAATATCCAGCATAGAGGGGTTGAACTTCCTGTCAGGTGACAACACTTCCTCTTTCACAATGGACTCTTTTTTGCCCTGCTTCTGGGGTAGAAAAGGAGATACATCTTGTCTAGCTGCCAGAGCTTGTACCACGTCTTTGGACAATTTCCTGAGGCTGGGCCTCCATTCTTCATTGCCTGGGCTGTGCTGCCCAGGTCCTAGATCTGGGCGCGTCTTCAGGGGTACCATTTCACTGATTAGCAGTTCAGCAGTACTGGCTGCCCACTTCTTGGGTGGGAAAAAAAGTATCTCTCTGAAGAGATTTTACTTCCCTTTCTATAGGGAGAGGACAGTTGTTCTCCTTCCTGCAATTTGGGGAGTCCCGGGGGCTGCTTCCTGCCTCGTCTACCTCATTTCCTGTCTGAAGACATGGCCTTTCCTGATGATAGGCTTGCCTTCTTGCTGGAGTCCATTCCCTCTCCTAAGCTATCTCTGCCTGTGGCCACTGGACCCCACCCCACTGAAGGAGCTTCACCTACTGACCAGTGGGAGTCCAGTTTTGGAAAAGCTAAGCATGCATCACATCTGTTTCCTGATCACATCCACTTCCTGTTCTAGGCTGACAGCTGGCCTCCATGCCTGGAGCCCTCTTGAATCTCCTATGTAAACTGTGCATATGCTGGGGGACTAGGCAGTACCTTGAGGATCCTATTCTTTTCAAAACTATCTCCCCCTTTCAACTGTATATACAGGTAACTTTAGTTATTTTAAAAATATTTTATTTACAAAAAAATTAATTTATTCTCAGAAATAAAGCTCTTTAAAGGCATCTATTTTTCTGTCCATAGGCCTGGCTTGGAGGCAGGGATGCGGGATAGGACAGAGAGGTGAAGGACAGGAAGGGCAACAAAGGGAGGGGGCAGAGCCCACGGGCTGGATGGGGGAGTGTGGGCAGCAGGCAGGGAAGCTGGCTGAGATCTGTCGAGTAACCTTCCCACCACAAGACCAGCAGGCCTGGCCCTGGCCAGGAAAGGACCGAGAAAGTGACAAGAGCGGACAGAGACAAGGCGTCGCCTTCTGGAGATGGGGCTGAGACTACACGTGCTCACATGGGGCCAAGGAAGACAAGAAAAAATGAAGGCGAAAGACAGAGACCCCAAAGCAGGGGTGAAGAGACCCCAAAGCAGGCCCAAGGATGAGAAAGAAAATGGCAGACACGAACTTAGAGGCTGAGACAAGAAGGTCCAGAGAGAAAAAGGGAACGAGGTATAAAAGCAAGCACAGTCACCGAGACAGAGCGATGAAGACCGGCCTAGCGACAGGCGCGGCAGAGCTGGACAGACACCGAGAGATAGATGGAGGCCGCAGAGAGGAGGCGACCGCGTGAGCTGCGCCGGCGCTCAGGCCGGGCCCCCGGGCACCAGCTGGCCCAGGTCGCCCTCAGTGCAGCTCGCCCACTCGAGGTAGAGACTGCACACGCGGAGTCCCAGCACCTTGGCGGGGAAGATCCCCGCGGCGGCGGCGGTGGCGGTGGCGATGGCGGTGGCGGTGGTGGCGGCGGGGGCTTCGGGCTCCGACCCGGGGCGGGGCCCGCCTCCAGGCGCCGGAGCAGGCGCAGCGCGCGCGGGTTCAGCTCGGCCTGGAGGTGGCGCACGACGTCGAGCAGCGAGGACAGCGCAGCCAGGGCCGCCGAGTCCAGCCGCAGCCGCTCGGCAGCCCCGCGTGGCTCGGTGTCGGGGCGCTCAGGCCTGCCACCGGCTGCCGCGGTGGCGAGAAGCTGGGCAGCCCGAAGGGGTCTCCTTGGTGCTGCACCTGCGGAGACATGGCCGGTGCGTCAGCGGAGCTCCCCGAGGACGGAGGTGCCTTGAGTGGGGAGCAGGTAACCACAGGCGGGGGTGGGCTACTCCCGCACTCTTAACTGAACCCTCCGCCCCTCACTGGGGCTTGCTTTCTCCTCTTACAAATGATAAATCCCCTTCTAACAAAGCTACTGAGTTTGAGATGAAACAAAACAAAACCAACCCGAGCTTTACACCAGTGCCTTTGTTTCTGTCTCTAAATGGAGCTTTATAATAACGGTATCAACTTCATAAGGGAGTTACAAACAGGTAAGGTGCTGAAGACAGGGCTTGGTCCCCAGAAAAGGCTATGTAACTGCTAGCTCTTTTATTAATGTTATCTGACCTCGGTTCAAATCCTGTCTTCAACACTCACTAGCTGGGCAGTGTGGGGCAAAACCACTTCCCTTCCTGAAGCCTCAATTTTCATATCTGTGAAATAGGGGACAACTCCCTCTCTTGTTTTTGTACTAGCAGTCTCTTGAAAATCACATAAGACAGTGCAAGGACCAAGTGGATTCACTCCCTCTGCTCATCCTCCCAACCTCTATACCTGCCCTGAGCAGGGATTCAATGAATAATTGTCACATGAATGAATAAATGAAAGCTAAAGGTGACTTGTAATTAGAAAAATGCTGTGACAATAATCATCCTCTGCTAGCATCTTGCCTCTGGTTCAGGTGTTGTGTTTGCTTTAAACACACTATTTCTTTTTTCTTTCTTTCTTTTTGGAGAGGTTTTCGCTATACGGCGTGTGCGCCTGCCAGACAGAGAGAGACACAGAGACAGAAAGCGAGAAATCACCCCCCAGGGGGGATGGTCATGCCGCAATCCCTTCTCCTCCATTCTCTTCTCAGGATCTTGGGCACGTACGCACACACGCCCGGTGTGAGTTTTAAGCTACCGGGTCTGGGACGTGAACCGTGGTCGACTACGTGGGAGTCCAGCGACATAGCCATTAAGCTAACTGCTGGTCCCAACACATTATTTCTAATATTCCCAACGATGAGTGTAATGGCGATGATGATGGTTTCACAGATAAGAAAACCAAGGCTGAAGAGATACAGTGACTTGCTCAGGTCACCATCTAGGAATTGGAAGAACTGGTATTTGAACCAAAATTGGTAGGACTACAAAGCTAGTTTTCACTATTGTCCCACTATCCCTGTCATAATCATTAGTGTTTATTTTTAATGTCATCATTACTGCCAAGGTCACAATTAGCAAGTTGTCAGGCCTTGTCTGTCAGATTCAAAACTGCATCTCCCTCCACTACACCAGGGTAATTGGGGTAAATATCTTCTTCCTTTGGGCAGAGCCATCTGCCCATCCACGATGCCAGCAGAACTCCTTTTGCAAAAGTCCTGTCCTGCGATAGAATTTTTGCCCTCTCTGAATATCCTGGGTAGAGGAGTTCACAGTTGACTTTGTCCAGTTGCCTCCTTTTACAGTTGGGGAGACCAAGGCCTAGGGAGGTGAGGTGTGAAGATCACCCAAAGCCTGGAACCTAGGTTTCCTGACACCAGGCCAGACCTCTCCTCACACCCTCAGACTGCATCTGATTTAAAGCACCAAGGAGGGTTCCTCCAAGCTGAAGAGGACGTTTGCGGTGCAGCCAAGGGCAAGTTACTGCCCCTCTCAGGAGCCCTGATTTCTGCAGGGCTGATTTCAATGTGGTTAAGAAAATGGGGCCAGCAGGTGGTATGGTGGTTAAGGGTGCTGGACTCCCACATGGCCAACTACGGTTCAAGTCCTGGACCTGACGGCTTGCTTTCTCACTTTCCCCTTCTCTCTCTCTCACTCACTCTGTCCCTCTCTTGTCAAGTTAAAATAAATAAAGTTAAAGAAAATAATAATTTTTAAAAAAGAAAAAAGAAAGAAAACAAGTGGTGGGGGACCTCTGTGATCTGTCCTTCGTCTGCCCCAGCCCTGGCACTCCCACCCCCAAGCCCACTCACATATTCCTGGAGTAGCTGCTCAGCGTATTTGATGAGGAGGTGGGCAAGGCTGTGTGTCTGCCGGATCTTGGCCTCCACGTGGGGAAGCAGAGAGACGGAGTCAGCCTGAGGGTCTTCTGATGGGAAAGGGGGGAGGAATGAGGGCAGCCCACAACCTAGCTCCTTGACAGCTCTCCTAGCTGGCCTTCTCCCTGAAGCCAGAAGCTCTGTTCTGGATTTTCCAACTTTCAAGCCAGATGGGGTCTGTCTCATTTTGACTGGGGAAAAATGAGCCCTTGGTCAAGTAGTTGCTCTGCCTTAAATGTGTCCTTGTCCCCAAATCACTACTGAACTCCTATGAAAGCAAATTAAAATACCACCTCCTCAGTGTAGCTTCCAGATACACCCCTCCCTTAAAGAATGTCTTCCTTCAACTTAAGACCATTCGTTCATACTTCCAAGGCAACTCCCTCAGTGGCTTAGCCTGGGAGCTCTCTGAGGACAGGGCTCACACACCTCTGGACTTCAGAGACTATTAGTGGACTTCAACATCACTGACTCACAGAACTTCAACTCAGAATCTGCCTTTAAGGCCCATTTTACAGCAGGGACTCAAGTCCCATTCCTCACTTGGTACTCTTTCTATGCAAGGCTCTGGGCTAGGTAACATCAATAAATTGACCTCAGGTCATCCCTGGTACAAGCTAGTTCGGAGTCCCAAAAGGAGGACTACATTTCCCGAGATGCTCAGCGCGCGCGCCCGGTGCACGCTGGGGAACGTAGTCCCGACCAGGCAACTCCTGCCCCGCCCCCAGCCCGAGTTTCCCCACTGCCTGTCTGGATCCACAGCACTCTCGACTTTCGTCTCCTGTTACCGCTCATTAGCTCCTGTGGCTCAAAGATTTTCTTACCTAAGGCTACCCCTGCCCCCGGCCCCCCAGCTCTTATTCTTTCCCGATAGCCAGGGTAGACCTGGGCGTCCTGCCCAGCCTCGACCTCAGTCCTACTTCAGGGTAGGGTATTCTCGAACCCGTGTTCTAACCTGTGAGCCCAAGTCCTAGAAACCTCAGTTCAGCCCCAGGACTCCTCTAAACACTTAGGCCTACCCCTTCTCACAACTCGCCCGCTCGTTACCTGACACCGGAGCCCTGCTCTCCCCCCGCCACTCCCCCAGGCCGCTCCCCTCCCAGACCCGGAGTGGCGGAGTCCCAGACCCCAGCTTCCAACCCTTCTGATAACTGCGCCCCTCACGGACCCAGCGTGAGGTCCCTCAGCCCCTTACCCTGACTTCCCTCCCTCTGGCTCATGCTGGCCCCAGGCAGATCCCGGTTCCCTCCACGCCCCCCTTGCGAGGGAGGAGAAAGGGGAAAGGGGCAGGGGCGTGGCCCGGGCACAACCAATCAGAGCTCAGACCCCAAACATTCCCCCCCTCCCCATTTCCAGGCAGGATTCCTTGGCCCTGAGCTCAGCTCCCAGCCTGCGCGGCCTTGTCTGGGAGGGGGCTGGAGGGGGTAGGCAGATTGTCAGTACGGTGGACTTGGGTCCAGGGGTATTGGGCCGGGGGAGGCAGGGCTTGCGCCTGGGCTGTGTTGGGAAAACTGAGGAGGCTAGATCAAAGCTGTGGGGCTGGCAGGACAAGAATGTGCATGCCCTCCCTCTTGGCTTAGGCGGGGTGAGAGAGAGGCCACGATGGGGGCCCTGGGGCTTGTGGCGTACCTGTCCAGACTTACACCTCCTGGCCTATCTCCAAGGGTCTTCAGAAAGTCGACTGAAAATTCAAATTTCAAAAAAGTTTGCGCCAAAATAAACTTGTACTATATTCCCAGGAAGTGTTTGAAGTCTCCTTAGATACCTTCCACATTGCTTGTTGCACCTACAAGGGAGACAGACACACCGTATCACCTCACCTTATCCCAATAACAGAACCCCTGCTATCATACACACATCTACTAAAGGGTTAATGTAAACAGACACTCATTCTCTGGCAGGAACACCAGAGACCTGTACAGAAGGTCACACCCACACATCAACCCCAGTAATCTGGCGTAGATGTGGAAAGGATTGCACACACTTGTACCACAAATGGTTCTCAAGCGCTCACGCCATCCTGGAGTCTGGGACAGAAATGATCTGTACTTGGTTTCTGGCTCTCAGAGGCACTCACAGTCTGCTGGGGGAGACCACAGACAACAGCAGGAAATGGGATTTATGCGTGGAGGAACTGGGAGGAGGCCTGTGTGTCTGTGCGGCTATCACTATAAGCAGACAAACCACAGACTAAGGGGACAGAAATCGGGGACCAGCAGATGATGTGGTGGTTAAGGGTACTGGACTCTCACATAGCTAAGCTTGGTTCAAGTCTTGGACCTGGCAGCTTGCTATCTCACTTTCCCTCTCTCTCTCTCTCTCTCTGGTCAAATTAAAATAAATAAATGAAGTTAAAGAAAACAATTCTTAAAAAAAAAAAAAAAAAGGACAGAAATCAACTGGCAGAGAGCCAAGTAGACTGTCGGAAGGGGCACAACTACACCCGAACAGCAGGTATCTTTTCGGGGTTTACTATGTTCTGGACACTGTTCTAAGAGCTACATATTAATATATACTTACATGCCATGGAAGAGAAAATAGAGATAAGCAACTTGTCTAAGGTCACATAGTGGGTGTAGCAGAGCTGGGATTTTACCTCAGCAGTTTGGCTCAGAAATGCCATCATAGCCATTCTCCTGACCGCTTAACTCGTCTATGTACTATCACACCAAAACTCACAGTTAGGCATAACCTTCACACACAGACACACAGACACACACACACACACACACACACACACACACACGGCAGCAGCAGTAGCACAAATTTAGACATAGTTACATCTGTTGACAAGCCAGCCTCAAATAAAACCAACCAGGATACACTCATTTTCTCTAAGTAAACTTTTAATTGTAGAATAATTATACAGAAAAGTGTACACACCGTATGTGTACCGCCACATGAATTTTCACACAAAAAAATATGCCTAGAGAACCAGTACTGGATTAAGAAACAGAACCTAATCAGCTCCCAAAAGTGTCTCTTACCCTCCCAGTACTAAAGGTGACCACTAATCTATCACACCATTAATTAGTTCTGAACTTCCTATGAAGGGAATGTTACAGTGTATACTGTTGTGTCTGGTTTTCTTGTTCATGAGACTTGTCGGGTGTAGCTGTGCACTGGTCATTCTGTTGCTGCGTCTAGGTCCATGGTGTGAGTAGGCTACAATGCACTTTTCTTTGCTGGGTGATGCGTTATTTCCAGTGAGGGCTGTTGGGAATAGTGCGCGTGTCTTGGTACTCATAGCTCCGCATTTCTGCTGAGTGTTGACAATCTAGGAGTCAAACTGCTGGATTGTAAGGTTGGTGTATATCCAACTTCACTAGAAAATTGCCAGCTTTCCAATGTCCCTGACCAGTTTACACTCCTCTAGAAATATCGGCAGCTCAGTCGTTCTGCTTCCTTGGGTACACTTGGTATGGTCTGTCTTTTCATGTTATCCAGTCTGGTGGGTGGAGACCCATTCCTATTTGTAGTATTTAGCACGTAACTATAACTGGCACGTAGTTCATAGATCGTTGAGTGAGTGGACAAATAAGTTGAGCAGTGTAGAATCAGCCTGAGGAAGGTGGTCACGCGTGCGCACACACGCCACACAGCGTTTCAGGGACGCCTACCGCAGCGGACACACACCAGGGCACACACCCTCTCGTGCACCCGGCGCCCACGTGGTCTGAACGCACCGCCTCAGCCCTGCCGCGCGCGTCCAGTCGCAGAGCTGTCCCCAACTCTTCCCCTCGGCAGCTGGCAGGGGGCGCTGCGCGTCCCGGAGCCCCGAGGGGGCGGGCCCGGGGCGGGG